TTCTGTTGGGTAAGATTTTGTTGATAATTTTTGCATTTGTATTCATGAGGAATATTGTCAACTCATAACTTTAAACACCATATAAATGTCAAGTCAAAATATGATCTTAGGTCTTTCCCATCTGAATTTATAAGTCATCTTAAAATAGGTAGAAGCATTGAACATCAGTGATTGAAGACCAGTTGAGTTGAAGGATGACATCAAGGATATTTATCCATGAAGAGAGCAAAAGATAACTACAAATACAGAGAAGGGGGGAAACCCATAATGGATGTCAGAAGTGACCCTGAAAATTGTATTAGAATGTTGAGAAACCAAAACAAAGGGAATAGATGTTGAAGTAAAAGAGTTGAACTGTAGATTTCAAAGGAAGATCTTCAGCTCAAGAAGATAAAGCAAACTGTTACAGTGGTATATTATAATGGCATAACCTAAAATTGGAGAATAAAAAGAACTCACTTGACATTTCTCAAGCTGAAAGAATTGAAAAACAAATTTAAGCCTTGAATTGTAATACTTAAAGATGCTATGGACAAAATCTTAAATGATCTAGGAAGCAAAAAAAAGAAAATGGAGGGAATACACAGAATCACTTCCAAACAATTGGCAGACACTGAAATATTTCAGGAAATACCATATGATCATGAGCTAGTAGTTAGGAAGGAAGAAGTTTAACCTACAACAAAGGCATTGGTAAAAAAATAAGGCCCCAGAAATTGATGGTATACTAACTGACATGTTTCAAATGACAGATTTGCTGAACATGATCACCAGTGTATACCAGGAAACTTGGAGGATAGCTGCCTGTCCAGCCAATTGAAAGAGATTCATATGTGTTTCCATTCCCAAGAAAGGTAATCCAACAGAATGTGAAAACTATTGAACAATATCATTAATAATCACATGCAAGCAAATACTGCTGAGGATCATTCAAAAGTGACTAGAATATAGACAGAGAACTGCCAGAAGTTCAAACAGGATTTAGAAGAGGCTGTGTCACCAGGGATCATGGCTGAAAGCAAAGGATACCAGAAGAATGTCTATTTGTGCTTTATTGACTATGCAAAAGCTTTTGACTATGTGGATCATTACAAATTATGGCTAACGTTGAGAAGAATGAGAGTCCAGAACACTTACTGTGCTCATGCGAAACCTACACCTAGACCCAGAAGCAGTTGTGTGGACAGAGCAAGGGAACACTACATGTTAAAATTAAGAAAGGTTGTGAGTCAGCATTGTATCCTCTTCCCATACCCATTCGGCTGTATGCTGAGCCAATTATTTGCGAAGCTGGATTCTTTGAACAAGAATGTAGCATTGGAAGAAGACTCATATCAATAAGCTTCGTTATGCAGATGATAGGAGCTTGTTTATTAAAAGTGAGGAGGACTTGAAGCACTTGCTGCAGAAGATCAAAGACTACAGCTTTCAATATGAATTGCATCTCAATGTCAAGGAAAAAACCCAACATTCTCACCACTGGACTGATAAGTGACATCATAATAGATGGAGAAAAGTTTGAAACTGTCAACAATTTCATCTTCCTTGGATCCACAATCAGTACACTTGTTACCAGCAGTCAGGAGACATAGTTCACCAAGAAAGTCTGGAGTCAGAGACCTTTCCAAATTCCTGAGAAACTATGTTAGTTGGAGAACTAAGTCGTGTGTTTGATTCTGTCCATGCTCTTTTCAGTCATTTGCTATACTGCCAAGAGCTGAACAATGAATAAGAATGGCAGAAGAAAAATTGACACCTTTGAATTGTCGTTTTGGAGAATAGTAATCAACGTCTTAGGGACTGCCCAAAGGACAGGTAATGTCTTGGAGATGGTGCAGCCAGAGTGCACCTAAAGATTAAAGATTGAAGGCAGGACAGCAAAGCTTCATCTTGTATACATTGGCATGTTGTTGGGGAAGGCTCTTGTAGAAAGAAGGGGAGATGGTGAAGGAGAGGAAGACCTTCAACCAAGTGGATTGACATTGTTACTGCAGCAGTGGGCTCAAGTGAGTCAGAAATTATATTGGTACAGGATAGGAAAGGGTTTAATCTTTAGTTCATATCGTTGCTGACTTGTATTCAATTCAGTGACACCTAACAACAACAGCATATCTCAGCCAAGGAGCTCTGGTGGCATAGTTCTTACGGCGTTGCGCTGCTGACACAGAATTGGCACCTCTTTGGCAGTTTTAGTCCACCTACTGCTCAACTGGAAATAGATGGAAAGTTTCCTGTGCAGTTTACAGCTTCTAACAACCCACTGGAGGGCCAGCTATGCATTGGTTCTAACTTGATGGCAATGAGTTTTGATATCCCCGCTGATACACCAGCAGCCAGGAAATTAAAAGACATATTGTGATGGGAAAGTCTGCTGTTATGGACCTCTCCAAAGTACTGAACAACAGTGTTGTCACTCTGGAGACTAAGGTGTGCTTGGTACAGGTCATGGTCTTTGTAGTTACTTGCTATGCATCAGAGGGCTGGACAATGACTAGGGAAGATAGACGAATTGATGCCTTTGAGCTGTGACTTTGGAGAATAGTATTGAATACACCATGAACTGCTAAGAAAACGTACAGGTTCATCCTAGAGAGGGTTAAACCAGGCTGTTCCTTGGAGGCAAGGATTCTGAGGCTTCAGCTGACATACTTTGGACATGTTGCAAGGATCGACCATTCCTTGGAGAAGGGATGTCATGCTTGGGAGACTGGAGAGAGCACAGGAGATGAAGACCCTCTTTGAGGTGGATTGATTCAGTGACTGGGGTAATAGGGATGGATGTGTCGGAGACAGTGAGATTGTCACAGGATAGAGCAGGATTTAGGATTTGTACATAGGGCTATTATGAGTTGCAGATGACTCGACGGCACATAACAACAACACACCTCTTTTATAGCTTAAATCCACTAACTGCTCTGTGGGAGAAAGATGGACCATCTTTTCCTGTGTGATTAAACTGCCCCTGAAAACCCACTGAAGGGTCACCTATGGGTCAGTTCCAATTCCACAGTACATAACAAGAGCTGTTGTACAGCCACCACCTGTCTCAGTGGTGGATTGAGTGTTGCTCAAAAAATATGCCAGACATGTTTCAGTAGAACTTTTAGACTAAGATGGACTAGGGAGAAAATCCTGTAAGTCCTCTTGCAAAAACTGTCCAGTGCAATCCTATGGATGACAATAGTCCAGTCTGCAGTGCACCATGAGATTCCTTCCAGTATGCATGCTTACTGATGGCTAACAATAACAATAGATTGATGATTTCCAGATAGCCTAGATCTTTCTCTAAATTGCCATATTTATATTGAACTTCATCTTGGCATTTCCTTTTCTGTGTCTAGTACTCCCAACAAGATGGATTGACACAGTGACTGCAGCAAAGCTGGTGCAGGATAGAGCAAGATTAAGATCTGTTGTTCACAAGGGCCGTTCTGAGTCATAATCAACCTGATGGCACCTAATGACAACAATCTAAATCTTAAATACTCCTAAAGCAAAGTCCTGTCTTCAGTTTCCTGTCTCTAAAAACTTTCTCTGTCCATCTCTTTGTCCATTGAGTCCTTCTTTTCCTTCATGTTTAAACCAATAGCACATCTTCTCAGTCTTACGTTCAGAATATGTTCTGAAATATGAGTATGCATTAATATGAATTCTGAATATCTTCTGTCTTCAATTTCATACTTTAGTCCAACTCATCATTTTTTTACTTGTTAATAGTTAACATCTTATTAAACAACTTCCATCTCTAGTTTCTTTTCTATGTTTTTATTTCATTTAATTATGTTAAGTTAGGTCATTCTCCTTAGAATTGTGTAAAGTTTTTAAGATAATTCAAACACCTTTTTGTAAGCTCTGTTTGAGATGGCTTATTTACCCACCCAACCTTATTTCTTGCTGCTTTCTGGTTTATTCATCAAATATTACAAACTTTTTTATTCAAAAACATTGAACTCAATATTGCTTCACTTTGTAAAGAATGTATTCCCTTCTTTCCTTTCCCTGTTAGTACAAATGCCTCTTTTACTGAGAAGTTCACCTCATCTCATGCTATCTAAAGTAGCTAAGTCTGTCTTAACCCTCAGTTAATGTGTTACTATCATGATTTTATTGCACTTATTACTTCATAGCCCATACTAAAAACTGAAATTTGCTTGTATGACTTATCATTGGTGCCTGTCTTAAATTTTCAAATTTACTTACTAAATTACAGGTCAGTGGTACAGATTTTTTTTTCCTACTAGTTAAGTAATATTTTGTTAAAAAGTGACAGCAACATAAAGATCAATACAAAGGACATTGTATATATATTGTTTTACTCTACTTAATGAATAGTGAGTAAAAGACCCTCCATTTCTTTGTTTTCCAACCTGTAATCTAGAGGAAAGACCACTTCTAAAGCCTTTGCTACCTCACATATTCTGATTTCGTTCCATTTTGAAAGAGCACATTTTAATAATTACTGTTTCTTTTATATTCAGGATATCCGTTTTGGCCTTTGATATGGAAAAATTATTGATATAAGAGGCATCAGTACCAGAGATTTAACAAGCCTTTGTATTGCCTCAAGACATTTCTCAGCATTCCTATGACTGAATCTGTGTTGACTGTAATAGTCTCTTTAATGTTTGCTCTTTAGAGTATAACAAAGCGGTATGACTGGACAATGTTTTAGATTCCTTTTGGATTTTATATTCTTTAATTCCATGAGAATGATTTTAATGTTCATTAAAGTTCTTATGTAATCATAGAATTATCCACCCTAATTTATTTCTAGATTGATAGGAAAACAAGTACTGGGAAAAAATACCAGTCAGATTTTTAAAATTTAAAATAATACATTTGAGTGTTTTTAGCTGCTTCAAAGATTTTCTTTTAATTAATTTTAGATATGTTTCACTGTTTTGGTAGGATTTTGTTACCTTGTGGATTCTTTTAGAAATGAACGTCATTAATTAACTTGCATTTCTAAACTTCACCCTTTATCTATCCTTATTAACTAGGAAGTACCATTGACACAAAGTGCACAGCCTACATCAGCCATTGTTCGTCCAGCGTCATTACAGGTTCCCAATGTGCTGCTTACAAGTTCTGATTCAAGTGTAATTATTCAGCAGGCAGTACCTTCACCAACCTCAAGTACTGTAATCACCCAGGCACCATCCTCTAACAGACCCATAGTGTAAGTGATGTGGGCCAGCTTTCAAACTGTTCTTATATAATTGATCTTTTTTTGTCCTGCCATGATTCTTCCTCAGGCATTTGATTATTTAAATTATTGCCTCAAGGTTTCATTTGTGTGTTTATGTGTATTTTAATCATGTTTGTCATGTTTTGTTTCTTGGGGGGAAGAAAGGTACTTACATAGTTTTATTAAGGGGAGGGTGTATTTGTGTTTATGAAAAAGAAAAATATATATATATAAATTAAATCAATTGAAAAAGATAAACTAAAACTTAACTTAAAAAGCAGATCAAATAGAATGTGAATTTTATTTTCTTAATTTTATATTTCATTCAAAATGCTTAAAATTATTCTCATCACTAAAGGGCACTTATTTCAAGCCTTACAGATTCTCCAGAACTTTCAGATAGAAATATCCTTCATTTTGTAAATGAATGTAACATAGCTTGTGCCATTCCCCCACCCCTGTTTTTGACACTGTCACAAAAATTATGCACTTAAGGTAGAATAAAAAAGAATTAAATTTTGCAAGTTTTTAAATGATAAAAAGACAAAAGTGAGATTATTGTGTTTTAGATGACATTTTGAAGAGACTTGTTTAGTTTCCTTCTTTTGTGTCTTTAGCCCTGTGCCAGGCCCATTTCCTCTTCTATTACATCTTCCTAATGGACAAACCATGCCTGTTGCTATTCCTGCATCAATTACAAGTTCTAATGTGCATGTTCCTGCTGCAGTTCCAGTAAGTTTGAAATTTAGACTATTTAAATTTTTTCTGTTTTAGCAAAACTTACCTTATTAAAGTAACCAGAAAATATACTTGGGATTGCTAGATTTGCTTATGAAATGGAACTTAACAAAGTGTTTATTAGTGGTGAGTAGTATTGATTCATTGACCTCTAGTGAAAGCATACACCATCATTTAAGACAAACATGATTAGATAGAAAACATTTCCTCTAAGAGTCTGATTTTCTTTATATTTTTAATATTAAGAACCGTATTAAAAAGAAAAAAAGAACCGTATTCCTATTTAATCCACTTTTAACATGAAGAGAGTTATTAACATGAATAGAATTATAGATAAATACCAAGAGGCACTTGACCAAACAGATCAGGGGAACTGTGCGTGGTATAAAATCAAGATTATCTCCTTTCTCCATACCTACTCAGTCTATATGTTGAGGAAATCATTCAAGAAACTGAACTACATGAAGAAGAATGGTATCAGAATTGGAAGACGACTCAACAACAACCTGTTATGCAGGTGACACAGTGTTGCTTGCAGAGTTAAAAAGACTTGAAACACTTAGTGAAGATGATCAAAGATTACAGCCTTCAATATGAATTTACATCTCAACATCAAGAAAACCAAGATCCCACCACTGGGCCAGTCAATAAGGAACACCTTGATAAATGGAAGCAAAAATTGATGTTGTCAACAATTTTATTTTTCTAATATTTTCAGTTACTTTCTGTGCATCTTAAAGTTGGACAGTGAATAAGGATGATGAAAGAAGAATTGATGCCTTTAAATGGAATAGGGACTGTCATAACGAGCAAACAAGTCTGTCTTGTAGCAAGTGTAACCAGGGTGCTCCTTAGAGGCACGGATGGTTTGTCTCAAAACTTTGGGCATGTTGTCAGGAGGGACCAGTCCTTGGGAAAAGATACTGTGCTGGGAGAGGAGGAGGGTGAGAAAAAGAGGAAGACCCTCAAAAAGATGGATTGACAAAGTGACTAACAATCAGCTCAAGCATATGCGAGATCATGATGCTGCTGTCTGCTAGGGAGGGTTCAGATCTGTTCATAAGGTTGTTAGGAGTCTAAGCATATGATCAAGAGCCAATGGTAATGAAGTTCAAGCTACGCTGAAGGCTTTGGCAAAAAAATAAGACCTCAGGAATTGACGGGATACCAACTGACTTGCTCCAAATAACAGATGCAGCTCACCAGTCTGTGCCAGGAAATTCGGAAGCTGGCTACCTGGCCGACGACTGAAAGATATCCCTAATTATTCCCATTCCCAAGAAAAATGATCCAACAGTATGTGGAAATTATTGAACAATATCATTAAATATCACATGCAAGCAAAATACTGCTGGAAACCATTCAAGAATTGTTACAACAGTGTATTGACAGAGAACTGCGAGAAGTTCAAGCTGAGTTTAAAAGAGGCTGTGATACCAGGAATTTCATTGCTGATGTCAGATTGATCTCGACTGAAAATAGAGAGTAATAGAAGAAAGTCTGTTTTGTTTTAATAATTATGCAAAGGCATATGACTGTGTGGATCATAACAAACTATTGTTAACATTTAGAAAAATGGGAATCCCAAAACACTTAAATATGCTCATGCCTGGACCTAGACCAAGAAACTGTCTGAACAGGGCAAAGGAATGCTGTATGGAATTGTTAAAGACTAGAGTAGGGAAGCAAATGTCTTAGAAAAATCAACAAATATTCAGGAAATAATTAGGATATAAGATGAATAAAGATTCTGTATAGAGATGTAATCAACTGGAGACAGATTTACAACTTTTGAACCTGAAGTCTCAAGTATTTATTATCATTGCCATAGTCTCTAGCAATTATTTTTCATTCTATTTCACACAGCTTGTTCGACCAGTCACCATGGTGCCTAGTGTTCCAGGAATCCCAGGTCCCTCTTCCCCTCAACCAGTTCAATCAGAAGCAAAAATGGTAAACAACATCTTCTTTGTTTTCTGCTTTTTTTCTTGTTTTTGTTTTATGTTTTCCACTTTCTTGAGCCTGTTTGCTATTGATGTTTTCATTAAAACCGAAATCACAGTTAATAAAATTACTGAGCTTCTCCCTCCTCCTCCCACCAAATAGCACATATAGGTAAGTGGGGAAATTAGAAAATTATGTAGATAGGGGAAAAATTTCTGGCATAATACATCACCCTTGCTTTGTGACATATATAAAAGTGAATTTTGGCCTCATTCACCCTTATTCATTAGTCTGGGACATGTCATTTTTTACATGGTAAAGGAATGCACTGGAATCGTGAAGTCATGAATCATTTTTTATAGTAGCCTAGTAATCAGAAAATAAATATTTGAGACTGTGCATTTGCTCTTGAGCAGTTTTTTGGATTGTCCTGAGAACAGTGGAAATCCATGCCAAGATTCATTGTGCTGAGGTGAGCAGATCCAGTAATGACCAAACAAAACTGATCTGCATCAGGCTGGGGTTGTTGTCTTTGTCTACCTGGGTCCCACAGTTCTGGTCCCACGTGAAGTCAGTGGCAGGACAGTACAAGTGCACACTGTCACTGTGCTGGCCCTATAGATCTCCAGGAGGCCAGTTGAACTTTTCTTGTCTAAGAGAGGGTTACATAACCCTTCTGTGTTCATGACGGTCATGCCCACTCCTTGGCATCTGAGCAGTGAGAGATTGAAAGGCCTGAACATAACAACCAGCTGGATTAAGGGACAGAATATGCATAGCTGCAATGCTTCAGTCTTACCCACCTGAGTGGCTGCGATGCTCTAGGGTGTGCTGATTCATAGACCTCCAGGGCTGAGACAAGCTGCCTTGGCAAGGACTATATGGAGAAGAAAAAGTTATTTCTTCTTGCGTTAGAACCATTAATTTGCAGAGCAAGGAAGGAATCCTGCCTGGAAAGTTGCTGCTTTAAAAATTTGACAGTAGGTAAGTGAGAGTGTGCTGCTGAGAATGAAACCTCTGTCAGCAGACACCAAGAAAGAGACTTGATATTAAATCCTTGGAGGAGCAAAGAAAAAGTGGTATTGAATTCATTGGCTTGTAAAAAAAATTGTAGAGCACATTATGAAAAATATTTAACAAGTACATTGCTTGAAATTTGTATAAGAAAAGCTTTAATTAGCATAGTGACTTAGATAGTATTACTTTCTATAAAATTAGTGGATAAGTGGGTGGTTTTTGAGTAAAATTCTTGTTACACTAGTGGTATGTCTTTGTTTAGGCTGTGATTTTAATGAACTCTTTTGCCTCCTGGTGGATGCTGGGAGTATTACAGCTAGAACTAGGAGAGTCTAGTACTCAAATTTGTCACTGTTGTCTAAAATATACAAAGGAAATTCTATGTTTTGCTTCAGACAACTAGAAATGAGTGTTGTTTAAAGGACTATAGGAGTCATGAGATAATGTATTTTAATTTTAGTCTTTGCTATATCGCTCCGTACTTGGAATCAAACTTCATTACTTTGTTGATTCTCAGTGTTCCCTTCTGAATATGAACTCAAATGCTTAACCTCCCTCGAACAAAGCCACACTCTCCTACCACTGAGTCAGTTTTCATAGTCTCATAGTGACCCTCTGCTGGGTTTCTGAGGCTGTAAATGTTTCCAGGAGGGTACTACCCGTCTTTCTCCTGAGGAGCAGTTGGTATATTTAAATCACCAACCTATCCACCTTGTGGATCCTTATCTATAAACCAGAAAGTTATTAGTCTTTGATTTCTTGATTTTTTCCTAAGCCTAAATCCTGTACCCTTCCTAATTTTCTTTGTAGACGACCTGAACCTTTTAAAAACATTAATTATTGTCTTTTACTTCTTACTATGCATGGAGCCTTTTTCTTCTGCAACAACACACACTTCTGTCATTACATTATGAGTTCAGACTCATAATACCCCCAGTTGGGTTTCCAAGTCTGTAAATCATAAGAGGATAAGACTGCCTGTCTTTCTCCCTCACAGTAGCCGGTGGATTTGAACTGCCAGAGACACATGGCCTTTGAGTCAGTAGTACAACTCCATGTACTTCCTGTTGTGCTGTCAGTCGACTATGACTCATAAAGACCCTTTGAACAATGGCTCTGAACCTTGCCCTATCCTCAGCCAACCTTACCATCTCTGATATACCTGACCTCATTGCCACAGCCACTGTGTCAGTATATCTTATCTGGGGTCTTCTCCTGTGTTAACCCTCTGCCCTCCCAAGCATGATATTCTTCTCCAAGGACTAGTGCCTCTTAGGAGCTTGCCCAAAGTATGTGAGACGAGCTTCAAAATTCTTGCCTCCAAGGAGCAACCTGGTTTCACCCTCTCTAGGACAGATCTGTTGTTTTCTTGGAAGTCCATAGTATGCTTAGTAATCTTCTCTAGCACAACAATTTAAAGGCATATAGATTCTTTTTCTGTTATCCTTATTCATTGTCCAGCAATCGTGAAGACCGTGGTCTAGATCAGGCACAACTAAGTCTCCTAATACAACAGTTTTCCCATAGTGTTCTCAGTGATGTGATCTTTCAGAACTAGATCACCCAGTAGGTCACCTTTTGACTAATAGCCGTACACTTAACTATTTGCACCCAAAGACTCCAAACAGTCATTCAGTATGTATTATTAGTTTCAATTCTCCAGTAAGTATTATAATAACAATGTAAATTCATAGTCATGGAACCAATATATATTGCTAGCCTTTTGATTTTTAAATGACAGGTTTCAAGTAGTGCAAATAATAAATCTGAAATATTTACCTTTTTTAAAAGAAAAATTTGTTATAGTGCAACAACGAATGAAAACCTAAAATCTCTGTAAATGTTCATTAAAAGTAATAATTAAAAAAAGAAAAATTTGTTATCTGAATAAAAAACAAGTAGCTTACTGATTTTGGTGAGAAAATAAAACTCTGAAAATACAAGGGGGACTTTTTTTATGATATGTTTAGTTTAGACCTTTGGAAACACTTAAGATGAATCTTCTCCAATTAATAATAGAAGTGCTTCTTCATTAGAAATGTTTCAGATTTCTTATTTTAAATATGATCAGTAAAGTAAAAGGTCATAAAAAAATAAAAATACTCAGTGAGATAGAAAATAGTAGAAACAATGCACATAAACATACCAATAATTATACAGATAATACAGGTCTAGGCCCAGTTTCCTTCTGCTATACATAAGGTTGCTGTGTGTCAAAGGTGACTCAGTGCCCATGCCCACCAATATTGTAAATATTCTGTACTCAAGACTCTCACATTCACATATGATGGGGATAGAATCAAGGTGGGTATAGTATCAAGAGCAGTCAGCATTGGTGACAGATAGTGTGGCAGAGTTGAAGGTAAGAAGGGAAAAGCCTTCCACGAGGTGATTAGCACAGTGACTACAGCAGTTAACTCCAGCACAGTTGGGATTGGAAGGACAGCACTGGCCAAGACACTGTTTTGTTCTCTGGAGTCAGAACTGACTATAAACAGCACCTGTAGTGATGAAAAGTTCTGTTTCATTTGCCATACAGCAGCAACTAAATATCCTAGAAGTAGGAATAAAACATCATGTTTCTATGCTGAGTCTCGGGATCTTTACATATTCACTGGACTTACTTCTTTTTTTTTTTTTTTTTTTACAAACTGCCCATTACCTTTATTGCTTATATACACAGGGAATACATTAAAAAAATTAAGTGGAGTAAGGGAGTGTAAATAATGAAAGAAAAGATTACCTGCTTTAGCATTTTTTTTAAGAATAGTTCTGATAACGTCTTAGACCAACCTGTTTATCTGAAATAGAGCTACAACACAATCACAATTCTAATAATCACAGCAATTATGTTTCCATTTTAAAAATTTTCTCTTCACAATACATTAATGCTATAAAAATGAGGTCAATGACATCCTTATTTAAAAGACACCTTACATTGGTATCAAAACGATTGATTTTAATGCCAACTGAAAAAATAGAGCTTCTATAGTCTATTAATTCAGTGAACTTTTATTATTTTATTTTCAAGTTGGTAGCAAGGTTACTAGTTAACAATATAAATGTTCTCTCTGTAAGTGTTGAAATGTTCTCTTAAAAGTGTTGAAAGGCAGCAGGCACTCCTAGAGAGCTTACAAGGAAAGTCAATATTCAATCCATGTATGGAGAAGGAGAAAACCTGATGCATTTACAATTATTTAACTTCCTTACCAGCCTTTTCTGATTTACCAGGTTTATTCTTCACTGGTATGTGAAGAGAAATGCAAGTCTTAGCTTTTAGCTTGGACTTACTTCTTACAAATTAATTTTTAAATACCTAATCAGATTTAAAGAAATAATGTTTTCTGTGAGGGTAGGCCTTATTTCTGGAAACCATTACTCTTAATTTCTCTAAAAGTTGGTTTTTTTTTATATCACTGAGAAATTAACACAAATACAAATGTTTTTCATATTTATATATTTAAAAATGGAAGTCTCTGTAAGGTCAATGTTGTTGTAATGTACCATTGAGTCGACTATGATTCATAACAACACTATGAACATGTAATCTGACCTATCTTGAATCCTCCCCACAATGTCCAGCTTGCTTGAACTCATGGAGTGAGTTACTCTACTCTGTCAGTCTGTCTTATTGAGTCTTCCTCTCTGTCGCCACCTTTCCAAACATGGTGGCTTTTCCCCAAGCCCCTCCTGACAACAATCTTCAAGTGTATTGAGATGAAGTTTCACCATCCTTTCCTAGAAGGAGTACCCTGGTTGTAATTCCTCTGAGATAGACTTGTTTGATCTTTTAGCAGTCTGAATGAGATATTCATTACTCTTCTCCAGCACTGCAGCTCTAAGGCATGATGCTGCTTTTGTCATCCTTAAACATGCATAGGAAACAATTGAAAATATAATGGCTTGGATCATATGGACCATAGTCTTTAAACAGACACCACATCTCTTTAGCACTTTAAAGAGGTTCTTTGACAGCATATTGCCCACTGCAA